AGACGCCATATGAAATGTGGTTTAACAGGAAACCAAATCTTCAGCATCTCAGAACGTTTGGGTCATTTGCAGTGGCATTAAATAAGGGTGATAAAAGGGGAAACTTATATAATGGTTGGTTATTCCCAAGTCGCGAAAGCATATCGACTATACAACAAGAATACCCGTAGTGTAATCGAACGTCGTGATGTCATATTCGAAGAGAATGATTTAGACAGCGGTGACCCTCACGAATCTACACCAAAGGCAGCGGAAGACTATTTAACAATTGTTATTGATAATGGCAAACAACGAAATACGGAAAATTCCGTGGATATAATTATAGAGTCAACCCCTATCCCATCGGATTGCGACGAATCCGATGCGGAAGAATTTGTAGGATTCCAAACAGCTGGTGAAAGTGAAGAGGAATAAGAGTCCGAGAATCAGAAGGAGACCCGCAGCAATCCAAAAATTGTTAGCACGGGTAAGCGGGGAAGACCACGTAATGAGAAGTTGAATAGCATGATACAGGAAAGCGTTCCCACGACAGTTGAAGAAGCTATGAGTAGCCTTAATTGGAAAAATTGGTGTGAGGCAATGCAGACGGAAATGTGGTCCTTGGAGAGGAATGAAACCTGGTCGTTGGTTGATCTACCCGGTGGAGCACGTATCCTTGATTCAAAATGGGTATTTGCCCTTAAAAAGGACGAGAATGGCTGCATAGAACGTTTTAAGGCACGTCTTGTAGCTAAAGGCTGTAGCCAGAGATTTGGCATTGATTACGAGGACACATTCTCACCTGTTGCGAGATATTCAACCATACGCTTGATTATGGCACTAGCTGTTGAATGGAAGATGCATTTGCACCAAGTTGACATAAGTTCGGCTTACTTGAATAGTGATATACATCATGACCTTTATATTCGTCAACCAAAGGGTTTTGTTGACCCTAATTATCCTGACAAGGTTTTGAAGCTGCATAAGGCGATATACGGACTGAAACAGTCCGGAAAGGAGTGGTACGAAAAACTGGACTTTGTTCTCAGGAAGATTGGTTTTGAACAGTGCGTTAACGAACAGTGTCTTTATAAGGCCACGATGGAAAATGAATTGGTGTTGGTAACTGTTTACGTCGATGATCTTATAATTGGATGTAAGAATAAAAACAAAGTCTTAGAGCGGGTTTTTGAGATGGTAATCAAATGCCAATTAATAATCAGATTAGTTAATCTAAAAATAAATTTAATCTTATGTTAATCCCCTTTGATGTTTTTGAGTACAAGATTAAACTTAGCAGTGTTGCCATACAAAACAACAGAAAACTTCACTGTTTGTTATCAAAACAATGCATATTTTATAAAAAGAAGATGAAAATTGTAAATTTAATATGAAAATTAATGAAAACTTAAATTAAAAACAAAAAAATGTATTCTGAAGTGTCCATAATTTATACTAATCAATAAATAGAACATTTTAATGTTTACATTTATAAAAGTTTTATTAATTTTTTTGCATCAGCTATTTATACTTTTGCATTTCGTGCTTAAGATTAAACCACCTCCATTGGGCGCTTAAACTTGCAAACAAAATTAACTAATTGAGTACTCAAAAACATCTTTCCAGGATTAATTTTAATTTAATCGCTAGTCTTTCACCTAAAGATTGGCCCTTAGCTGTAAAGCATTTATTGGCGAATGAATTCCCTGTAACTGATAAGGGTGTACTACATCATTATCTAGGAATTGAAATCGAGCGTATCATTGAAACTGGCACAATTTCTATTTGCCAGTCGCAATACATAAAAGATTTACTTCAGGAGTATGGGATGGAAAATTGTAAGGCCGTTGCAACCCCACTCGAAACTAATCATCAGGTAAATTGAACTGGACAAAACTGCAAGGAAATACCTCAACGTGATTACCAATCCATAATTGGAGCCCTAATGTATCTTTCGATAACAACGAGACCTGATATTCTTCATTCTGTGGCCAAACTAGCACAGAGAAATTCGAACCCACATGAGGAACATATGCAAGCTTTGAAAAGAATATTACGTTACCTTAAAGGCACGGTTAATATGAAACTTGAATACACGGCGGGTGAAACATCTATTGAAGGTTTTGTGGACGCAGATTGGGGTGGCGATAACCTTGATCGGAAATCATATACCGGTTTCGTATTCTTTATTGGAAATTGTCCGGTATCTTGGCAGTCTAAGAAGCAGTCTTGCGTGGCACTAAGCAGCACAGAAGCGGAATATATGGCTCTGTCAGAGGCGGCAAAGGAGGCAATTTACTTAAAACGCATTTTGGAAGAAATCGGATATACATCAGGTGATCCTGTCATACTCAATGTTGATAACCAAGGCGCGGAAAGATTGGCATCTAACCCCGTTTTCAATAAAAGGACGAAGCATATTGATATTCGTTTCCATCATGTCCGGGAGGTTGTAAAGAATAAGGATGTCATCTTGAACTACTGTCCATCAGCGGAAATGATTGCTGACGTATTGACGAAGAATTTGGCGAAGACAAAACAGAATTACTTTTTGAAATTAATGACATTTGTTTAAACAATATATTTATAATTTTTGTATTTTGAACGTCATTCACATTGAGAAGGAGTGTTGGAAAACGGAATAAATAACTATTGGCAACTCTATATTCCAATGTGAATATCGTTAACTTATTTTACTTTGTTCTCTTTTTGTCTTATCCTTTTTATTCATTCTATTCTTGTACTTGCCTAAGATAACACGCATTATTTTAAACTTTAATATTAATTTACTTTTGAAATAGAATAAAGACTTTTGTTATATTAAAATAAATATTTTTGATTAATAATTTAATTAAATAATAATTCTCATATACTATGAGAATTATATATCATGTTCTTTAGCATTATAAATGTAACAAAATGTGGACAGAAAAAGGTCATTGCATTTCATTAAGATCACAACAGGCCCGAAATTAGTGCATAGGTGTATTTATTCGAATTTGGTGTATTAAACATTCTCTTCCTCAAACACTGTATGTTGCTAAATTTCTTGAAAATCGGTTCATGTTTTTTTATATTTAGCCTAGAAATTTGGTGTTATAGCAGTTTTTCAAAAAGTGAACATAAAAATATGCGTATCATCCAATCAATATCATACAGAATTTTTTTTATACCCTCCACCACCATCAGTATATATATATTCTTATATATCATATATATTCTTGATCCTTATGAAATTCTGAGTCGATCTAGCTATGTCCGTCCGAAGCCATAGAAATCCGGTACAGTTTGGTATTGAAAAAAATCAGTAAAATCGGTTCACGACGTAAAAATTTATGAGTAAAAATTTCAGACTACCTCGAAAAAAAATAAAGTTTTTTCCTAATTCTTAAGTAGTTTTCTCAGAAGCTACCAAAGATATTTCGATGAATTTTGTCACACATTATTTGTTTGTGCAAGGGATAAAATGTTTGTTCAAACTCATAACAAATGTTCCAATATTTCCCATAGCCCCCATACAAAGGTGTATATTCCCGGATATAAATTTATCGTTATTAACTCCCTCAAATATATCGGTATCAACACAAAATTTTGTACATACAAATATAATATGAATAGAAATCATAGCTCCCATGTAAGGTCCACTTCCAAAAATCACCTAAACACACATATTTCATTGGCAAATAAAGCTTTTGTGATAAAATTCGAGCTGAATATGTTTTGCGTACATACAAATCATTCTACCAAATTTCTTTTCGGATCGGTCCATTATTAGTCATAGCTCCCATATAAGGCCCACTTCCGAAAATCACTTAAACGCACATATTCAATTGTCAAATAAAGGTATCTTGATAAAATTCGACACAAATAGGTTTCGTCTATATATGAATCACTCTACGATTTTTTTTTCGGATAAGAACATTATTGGTCATAGCTCCCATATAGGGTCCACTTCCAAAAATTATTTAAACGCATATGTTTCATATCGGTATAAAATTCAACTTGAATATGTTTTGTATACGTATAAATCATTCTAACAATTTTTCCCCTGATCGGTCCATTATTGGTCATAGCTCCCATATAAGGCTCTCTTCCGAAAATCATTTAAACTCACATATTTCATTGTTAAATAAAGCTATCTTGATAAAATTAGACACAAATATGTTTTGTGTACATACATATGAATCACTCTACAAAATTTTTCTGGAGAGGCCCGTAATTGGTCGTAGCTCCTATATGAAGTCAAGTTATCTAAAAATTAGATGTTAAATGGGTTTTAATAAAAAGTAGCTTGTTGGGTGAAGGTATTTAAGATTCGTCATAGCCGAATATAGCACTCTAACTTGTCAACTTCTGAGGTTAGACCTAATAAACGCCAAATTTTATGTAAATAAGTTTATTAGTTATGTAGTGAAAAGTAAAAAATAGTTTCATATATATTTATTATTATATATTATAGGTTTTGAAGATGTAATGTGTCGTACTGTTCATTCCACAACATTAATTATAACAGATTTCATGAAAATCGGATCAGTAGTTTTTTGTATGCCTGAACGTAAATTTGGTTTAATGATTGTTTTGTAAAAAGTTGGTGTAAAAAGAGGCGTGGTAAAGGTAAGGATAGTTTTATAGAAAGTGGGCGTAGAAAGGGCGAGGCATGGGATCAAGTTCTTATATATAGCCTATAGTTCTTTCCAAGCTTATACCTATCGGTATGCAAAATTTCAGGTTAATCGGTTTAGTAGTTTTTGCATATTGTGATTGCGAAATTGGTTTTAGTTTTACAAAAAGTGGGCATAAAAAGTGGCGTGGCATCCGATCAAGATCTGATATAGCCCATTGTTCCTTTGGGGTATATATATATATATATATATATATATATATATATATATATATATATATATATATATATATACATACATACGTTATTGTAATTTTAAAATCAGAATTAATAGTCCCGACTCTATGTTATACTTTCAAATGTAATTCCACGATTTAAAACATAATGACAAAAGTAATACCTGTGCTCCACCTGAGGGTTGATGTATCATAATTCGTGAGTTTGGCAATGAGTAACGCATCCCAGGTTCACCTCCTGCGAGAAGTAATGAACCCATAGAGCAGGCTTGACCAACGCACCATGTCGCTATAGGAGGTTTTACGTATTGCATCGTATCATATATAGCAAGACCTGCAGTTACAACGCCACCAGGAGAGTTTATATATAAATGGATTGGCTTATTTGAATTTTCCGATTGCAAGAATAATAATTGTGCCACTACTAAAGAACTTAAATCATCGTGTATCGGGCCCATCAAACATATAATACGTTCCTTAAGTAATCTTGAAAATATGTCGTAAGCACGCTCACCTCTACCGGTTTGTTCAACAACCATTGGAATTAAATGTATTTGACGGGTGGAACATGTTTTCTTAAAACAAATATAAATTAATCGATTAAATATTTTATTATAGATTAAATATAAAAAGTATTATCTTACAATAACTTTACTAAATGCTTTAAGCATATTATTTTTAAATTATCTTTTGTTTTCGACTATTTTTTGCAAAATAAATCAAATGACAGAAATATTCGGCCGAGATTACACAATTTTTCAGAGATGGATGTGAGTAGCTATGATTACTTTTTATTTTTAAAAAGCACAAAAAATATAAAGCCGAATAACCGATTTTATTCGTAAAAGTCGAAAGACTGCAATTTCAAAAAGAAAAAAAAAAACAAAAATAATTATTAACATTTTTAGAATATTTTTTTAAGGAATAAATAAAATAAATATTTATTAATTTTAAAGTATTCAATAACCAAGCTTATCTTTCATAATTTTTTTACTTGATATTCGATTTTTCGAACTAATTCTGTCACTTTATTTTAATTTTTCTGCATCGTTTAACCGTGATTACTTACCTCTATTATCCGCGATTATAAGTATAATTAAATTATTTTGTAACAACCAAGCACAATCAGAACAAAGCGAAAAGGGAAATTACCTTGTAAACGAAAATATAAAATTAAAAAAGAGACAAACACCCCTATAATAACAGTGACAGTCATTTGACCGGTCAATTGACTGTCACTACTGAGAATATACCCTACATTGCGTAGAACAAAGCTCCCATCACTTTCTTAAGGGCAATATGTAAAAAGTGATGGAAACATTTGTGTACATGTGATGTTGCATCACCCTCGCACTTATGAATTATATCGACTTTAAAACATATATTTGAGCTGCTCACTCTTTTGTTGTTTACAAATCATTGATGATATAAATATTAGTCACGATTGACTAATCATGATTGATGGATATATCCATCAAAGTTAACAAATAAAAATGATGACGGATATACTAGTTTATAATAAAACACAATTTATTAATATTTAAAGTTATATATTGTTAATTTTATTAATATAGTAATGATATATGTACATAAAATACTAATCTTTTCACAATTTTACATGTCTCGTAGAATCTTAAGTCCTTTGATGCTCCTATTAATTTGTGGAAATAAGTTGTCTGTAAAGAAATATACATAAATATCGAAATATAAAAATCATAAGTACATATTTATGTTACCATTGAACTCCGAATTGTTTATCTTCTGCTCCACTTCCTGCACTTTTTTAAAATTTAGTTAATAATAATTCTGTTTATTTTTAATAATTTAAAGACTTTGTAATATTTTTAGTTCTTTTCTTCTTGATCTTTGGCTTTCGGAGAAAGAATTAATGTAACGACGAAAAATACAACTCTGTAACACAGTGACAGTCATTTGACCGGTCATTTGGCTGTCATTGTTGATGGAATCGTCCATTAAAATTTTTTTCGACAATTCTATAAAAAAATGTTGCATGTGTGTTAGTAAAATCATTTTGTATGTGTTAGATTCGGTCATTCATTTCTTATAAGGACGTTGCATATACTTACATAATAACAAACAGTGCACAGTGGTATAGGAAAAAAAAAGAGGGAAATAATTCGGTAACTTCTAAACGGTTTTCCGATTTTAATGAAATTTGGTATGCACAAAGAGGAGGTGTTGTCGAGTTTAGGTTTTGAATTTGGACCTTATAGGCCAACCAGGGGCCCGGCGGGGGGTCCTCAAATTAGGACACCTCGGCTATGTTAAATTTTTAAAACGATCCTATTTCTTCATTTGAGTTCCGATTTAAAAAAAAATTATATTAAATATTATTATTATTATAAATATTAAATTAAATTATCTCTTATAGTTTGGGAGATATTCGCATTTGAAAATTAAAATTTTAAAATTTTTACCGTCCTTACTTTAGTTTTTTTGATAATAGCGGGTCCAAATATTCCCGATTTTCGCCATTTTCTTTTATTCGCTTAACAACAAGTTTATATATCAAGCAGTGAAAGAATTATGTAAAAATCATGACTGAGTCCAAAGTTATAGGCATTTTAATTTAAAAAATTAAAAAAAGGCGATTTTTTGCCATTTTTTTGGGAAAAAAAGTATCTTTTTCTTTTTAAGTTATCTAAAAAGTTTCTAAGAAGATGTATATAGAATTTATACTTTTCGGAAAGCTGACTTTACATAAAATACGATAAATGAAACAAAACCTAAAAATTTTTGATACCGAGGGGACCAGGTCCATCCAAAAAAACCCTATTTTTTATGGAAAATTCAATTTTGAGCAAAAATTCTCAAATCGCATAGTCGATATCAAATTATAGTGACCTGTTTTATATGACCCAATATGTTCTTAATCATTTTGTAACGGGTTTCGATAACCCCGTCCCTGGTATGGATATAATAGGCAAAAAACCAAAAATCCCATTTTTGGGATTTTTTAAAACTTTTTTGGGAATTCCGGGATTTCTAATAAGAAAATTCGAAATTTTTATTTAATTTTGGATTTTGAGTAAAAAAATCTACCTAACTGTAAAATTTCATCAAAAAATATTCATAAATAAAATTTTTATTGCAATTTGAAAATTTTGTATCTTCGCAAAAACTGAATAAAAAACATTTTTTAATTTTTTTTAAAAAAAGTATTCCGCGAATTTTTTAATTTTCAAAAATTATATACAGTTTTGAAAAATAGACATAAGGTTAACTCTTAAATTTGTTACATATATGGATGAAAATAATAGTGCTAGGTAAATTTTCTAAAAGATGTTGAGTTTTCCCTAATTAATTTGTCACTTAAAAAACATTAGGTAGGCATGTTATATATCAATGGAGAGGTAATTTTGTCTATTTTTCAAAACTGTATATAATTTTTGAAAATTAAAAAATTCGCGGAATACTTTTAGAAAAAAAAAAATTAAAAAATGTTTTTTATTCAGTTTTTGCGAAGATACAAAATTTTCAAATTGCAATAAAAATTTTATTTATGAATATTTTTTGATGAAATTTTACAGTTAGATAGATTTTTTTACTCAAAATTCAAAATTATTCCATTACCAGGGCCAGGGTTATCGAAACCCGTTACAAAATGATTAAGAACATATTGTGTCATATAAAACAGGTCACTATAATTTGATATCGACTATGCGATTTGAGAATTTTTGCTCAAAATTGAATTTTCCATAAAAAATAGGGTTTTTTTGGATGGACCTGGTCCCCTCGGTATCAAAAATTTTTAGGTTTTGTTTCATTTAACGTATTTTATGTAAAGTCAGCTTTCCAAAAAGTATAAATTCTATATACATCTTCTTAGAAACTTTTTAGATAACTTAAAAAGAAAAAGATACTTTTTTCCCAAAAAAATGCAAAAAATCGCCTTTTTTTAATTTTTTAAATTAAAATGCCTATAACTTTGGACTCAGGCATGATTTTTACATAATTCTTTCACTGCTTGATATATAAACTTGTTGTTAAGCGAATAAAAAAAATGGCGAAAATCGGGAATATTTGGACCCGCTATTATCAAAAAAACTAAAGTAAGGACGGTAAAAATTTTAAAATTTTAATTTTCAAATGCGAATATCTCCTAAACTATAAGAGATAATTTACTGCTACGACGACATTTTTTATAGTGCTCGATGAGGAGATTCTATATACGAAATTTTTTTTAAATCGGAACTCAAATGAAGAAATAGGATCGTTTTAAAAATTTAACATAGCCGAGGTGTCCTAATTTGAGGACCCCCCGCCGGGCCCCTGGTTGGCCTATAAGGTCCAAATTCAAAACCTAAACTCGACAACACCTCCTCTTTGTGCATACCAAATTTCATTAAAATCGGATTAACCGTTTAGAAGTTACCGAATTATTTCCCTCTTTTTTTTTCCTATACCACTGTGCAGTGATCGAATACGAACTTTTACTGTGATATTTAATTTTATTATATTTTCATTATTAGTATTAAGTTTTTTGTTTGTGTTGTCCAACTTTACAAAAAAAATGTGATATTTTTAATGATATAATTTTTATAAAATAGATTATATATCATAAATAAATTCAAAAATCCCTGAAGAAGTTGGAAAATACCAACCAAGGTATATTAATTTTCAAGGTATATATATTAATTTTATAAGGTAGTGTCATCGGCGAATTCAGAATACCAAGCGATTTGAATATATTTTTTTTAAATGTAGTTTGACATTGTATCTGCACTTGAAGGCGAATTGGCTGTAAGGGAAATTTTTCAAAAACAGCTGACAAATAAAGCAAAGCGAATTTATATTAAACAAAAAATGTTTATAAATTTGAATCTGTTTATAATTTATTTTGATGTTTAAACTTTTAAATAAAAACACAAAAATATACCCTAATCACACAATTACACTTTAATCACAAAATTCACATAAACAAAATGAAAGCAGTTTGACATTAACAAAATGAAAACAAAGTTTGACATTTACAAAATGTAAACAAAGTTTGACATTAATACACCACGGCGAAAAATGAACATAATAGCTAAAAACGATCAGCTGTTCTGATAACACTACCTTATAATTAATATATCTTGATTAATTTTATAAGGTAGTGTCATCGGCGAATTCAAAATACCGAGCGAATTGGTTATATTTTTTTTATATGTAGTTTGACATTGTGCCTGCACTTGAAGGCGAATTGTCTTTCAGGGAAAAATAAAGATACATTAATTATAAGGTAATTAATTAATACGGAGCGAATTAATTTTATTTTTTATATATGGAGTTTGACAGCATGCCTACACTTCAAAGTGCCAGCACACTGTCAAACTACATAAAAAAAAAATCAAAAGTGTATTAGCAAAAAATAATCAGCTGCTCTGTTAACACTACCTTATAATTAATATACCATGGCGAAACTAATAAGGTGAAGTCATTTCAACAGCTGATTGTTTTTTTGTCTATGGAAATTTAGTCTGACGCTGTCAAACTCCATATAAAAAAATCTCTCTCAAACTCCATATATAAAAAATTGAATGAATTCGCCGCAAAATGAAATGACTTCACCTTATAATCTATTCGCCTTGTAATATACCTTGGGAAAAATGCCAAAACAGCTGACAAATAAATCAAAGCGAATTTTTGTTAAACAAAAAATGTTTATAAATTTGAATCTGTTTGTAATTTAATTTGATGTTTTTAAAAATAAAACTAATTTCGTGTAGTATTATTATTGGTTTTAAAACATAAACGAATTTCATATATACAAAACGAAACCAGTTTGACATTAACAAAATAAAAAACAAAGTTTGACATTTACAAAATGTAAACAAAGTTTGACATTTATTC